TCAAGTGATCAAACCTTCCTATAGTTAGGGTCATCTCAAACTCCCGCTTGGTCAAACCTTCCTACAGTTAGGACCAAAACCACAATTCACTCTCGATAAACGAGAAATTTATCTTTAGTTCGGTAATCAAACCTTCCGACAGTTAGGGTTATCCGAATCTTTTCGATTCTCGGAGTGGAGATCTCACTCTTAGTTTCACCTTTCTAGATTCTGGGGGTGGAGATCCCACCTCGAGTCTCCTTTTCAACTAGAGATAGAATATAAAATTCTTTATCTTCAGTGTTAGGAGATAGAATATAAAATTCTTTATCTTCAGTGTTAGGAGATAGAATATAAAATTCTTCCTCTCCCATTTCGGGTTCGTCTTTGTCCCAAGAGAAGACATCACTTTTTTCAACTCCCAAAATCCGTGCCTCACAGGTACGGAGAATTTTATCCCGAATCCTGAGCAGGGATAAGTCAACACCTGACACGTGTTGCCGGTTTAGTCTTTCACCGATTGAAGAAGACACCAGAATTCCAGTCTGGGAAATTTTATCCCGAATCCTGAGCAGGGATAAGTCAACACCTGACACGTGTTGCTGGTTTAGTCTTTCACCGATTGAAGAAGACATCAGAATTCCAGTCTGGGGAATTTTATCCCGAAGCCTAAGAAGGGATAAGTCAGCGCCTAACACGTGTTGCCGGTTAGTCCTTAACAGTAAAAAAAAGGGACAAAAGCTCACATATTCGATATTATGGCAGGTTGTTATTCATAACACCAAAATTCGTGCTTCACACGCACGGAGAATTTTATCCTGAATCCTAAGTAGGGATAAGTCAACGCCTAACACGCATTGCCGGTTTAGTCTTTCTCCGATTGAAGAAGACACCAGAATTCCAGTCTGGGGACTTTTATCCTGAAGCCTAAGTAGGAATACGTCAGCGTCTAACACACGTTGTCGGGTAGCCTATTCTCGTAACAATGGCGAAGTCTACGTATTCGAAGTCATAGCATCAAGTCTAAGGGAGTTCATTCCTTTAGCACAACGTCACATGCGGAACAGACTTTAAACAATCCGCATGTAAGCCCGATTCAAACAGTAATCGGTAAGAGCACGTCAAATCCGTTGAGGGCTGAGGATTTGCCAAAAATCCTAGGTCAACGTCTGATACACGTCGCTGTTTAGTCTTTTCACGAGAGAAAGATGAAGTCTACATATTCAACATCGTAGCGCTAAAAGGGTTAACTCTTCTGGCTTAACGTCACATGCGGAACGGACTTAAACAATCCGCATGCTAGCCCGACTCAAACGGTAGTCGGTAAAGGCTCATCAAACCCGTTGATGGCTGAGGGTTTACCAAAAATCCTATATATACAAAAGTCATTAATGCACCAGCTTTATTAACTGGTCTCGTGACTCAAGCATTCAACAAACTTAGGAATAAGATCCATATCTGCAGACGAATCAGCTTTAACAGCTGGTCCTGCAGCCCCAACTGTTGGGACCGCCATGCTCCAATATCTTAAGAGCTTAAACTGTGTATACTCTAGCAGAGTACGAGTATAAACTATGTTAACGATGATTAATCCAAAACCCTAGGTCAACGCCGGTCAACGCGTTGTGATAAAAAGTTAACGTATGGCGATCTGAAACCCTAAGTCAGCATGATGCGATGGAGATAGTCAGTTCTAAGTCAACTCAATGACACGAGCCAAACTCAACTCATCAGTTTTAGACTCGAGACTCCGACGACGGCCAGGCGATAAACACAGCGCCGGAAGGACTTCAGCTATTCGTCAAAGCATCGAATAGACTGAAAATTGAAGGAGCCAAGAGTTGAAGCTAATTAAAAGTCCTTTACACCGATCGAAGGCTGGACCAATCACATCCAAAGTATTCTAGCCTCTTCTATAAAAGAAACGAGTCTGAAATGCTTTGGAGGGGGTATCTGTAGGCATCGAAAATTACCTATAGGTCTCCACGAATAGCTCAGCGCTAAGAAAAGACGATGAACGTCACTATCCGGCTCACAGAATCTTGATTGACATCGACGAATGCTTAAAGTGGATCGACGGACTACGTGAAGTAACAGAGTTTCAGAATAATGAGGATACGAACTGATCGGGAGCCCCGCGTTGCTTACAAAAGGTGAAACGACGCTCCTATCCCATCTTAATCCACAATGATCTAATCATCAGAGCTTATAAAACTCCTCGTCAGCTTTCCGACGTACTTTGAATCACTCAAATCCGAGTTCGGATGAAGAAATTACGGCGGAAACGGACAAGTGTACGAAAAAAGGGTCTCAGTCTGAGTTGAGACACCCCGAGGTGTCTCGGCACAAGCGAGATACCCCAAGGTGTCTCGGCCAAGGCCGAGACACCGAGACACCCAGGGGTGTCTCCAGGCCCAAAAATGAGCCGTTATATAGTTTTAACTGATCAGACTTCCTTAGAGCCTATAAATACAGCCCCGGGAACCTCATTTTTTCAGAGCTGGAATTCTCGAGCGTTGGCGAAGCTCTGCTAGATTGAAGATCAAAAGTGCACGAATTTTAGAGAGGAGGAGGAGTAGAGACCTGATCGAGTTCGTCGGCATAAAGAAGAGGAGCTCGTCAGAACTGCAGTTCCCGGGTCCGTTCCTTAAGATTATCCCATTGCGATAATCTTAAGAAGAGCAATTATCTCGCCGTTGCCGAGATAAGCGCTACGGTTTCTTGATTCCTTCGCGAATCAACGAAGCTCTGCCCGACTTTTTTAGCAATCAGATCTGATCAGCGGTGGTACACGGATATTAACGTCCCCGTCACAGGCCAAGATCCCACGCAAGCAGCGGGCGATAAACACCCATTGCGTTTGTTTGAAGAGAGTTGTATTTTTTTTATTTTTTTCATTGTGTAAGAAAGTCTTATAAAAAGACTAATTTTATTTTGAATCTGTAACCGATAAACGTGTAATAGATTCAGCAATGAAGAAATCAACTTTCACCGCAAACAGCTTCGTGGTGAAATGTTTCAGTCAGAAGTAAGGTGTTGACTATGAAGAAATTTTTTCTTCTGTTGTAAAGATGTCTTATATTCGTGTTATTCTTGGTCTTATTGCTTCTCAAGACCTTAAAGTTGAGCAGTTAGATGTAAAGATAACATTCCTCCATGGTGATTTGACAGAAAAAAAATATATATGGAGTAGCCAGAGGGTTTCAAGGTAAAGGGCAAAGAACACTTGGTTTACAAATTGAAGAAGAGCTTGTACGGACTCAAGCAGGCACCGCGACAATGATATAAAAAGTTTGATTCTTTTATGCTTGACCATGTGTACGAAAGAATATCTCCAGATCATTGTGTTTATGTTCAAAAGTTCCCGGATGATGATTTTATTGTTCTCTCTATATGTTAATGATATGCTTATTGTTGAAAAAGATAGGTCTAAAATTGATAGGTTAAAGAAAGAGCTGAGCAAGTCCTTTGACATGAAGGACTTAGGAGCAACACAACATATATTGGTAATGAAGATTTCTCGAGACAATAGTGCGAGAAAGTTGTGTCTATCACAAGAAAGATACATTGAGCGTGTTTTGAAGATGTTCAATATGTTGAACTCTAAGCCAACCGGTACACCACTAGCAGCTCATTTTAAGCTAAATACACAACAAAGCCCTTCAAGTGAGAAGGAGAAGGGGGAGATGAAGAGCATTCCATTTGCCTCGGCCGTCGGAAGTTTGATGTACTCCATGGTTTGTACAAGACCCGACATAACACATGCAGTTAGAGTGGTAAGTCGTTTTCTTGCCAATCCTGGTAAAGAACATTAGGAAGCAGTAAAATGGATACGAAGATATCTTAGAGGAATCTCTAAATATTCTTTATGTTTTGGAGATGAAAAACCTATATTGGAAGGCTACACTGATTCTGATATGGCATGTGACTTGGATAAAAGAAAGTCCACAGCAGGATACTTATTTACCTTTGCAAGGGGAGCCGTATCATGACAATCAAAGCTAAAAAAGTGTATCGCTCTATCCACCATAGAAGCTGAGTATATAGCTGCTACAGAAGCCATCAAGGAGCTCTTGTGGATGAAAAATTTTCTGAAGGAGCTATCTCTCAAGCAAGAGAAGTACACTATATACTGTGACAGTCAGAGCGTCATCGACTTGAGTAAAAATGCTATCTATCATTCAAGGACAAAACATATCGACGTACTCTTTCATTGGATCCGTGATGCTTTGGAGAATCGTCTTATGCACATTAAGAAGATTGATACAAGCCAAAATCCGTCTGACATGATGACGAAGCCTCTATCAAAAGAGAAGCATAACTTCTGCAGAAGAAAGGCATGTACGATTACTGTTTGAAAGCTTTCTCCTCCTGAGGATAGAGGGGGATATTGATAGGAACGGGGGTACATCCCCATGATGAATTAATATGGATTTAATCCATGGAGATTTTGTGGTTGGCTACATGCATGCATTGATAGATTGTCTTTCCCCATGCATTAAAAAAAAGGGCTAGTCTTTAGACTTCCCTAACCCCATGTAATGAATGTGGTGTACTCAAGAGGCATATCATCCTTATAAATAGAGGGGAGATGGTGAATGTTGAAAACAAGAAGTAAGAAGAAGAACCACATGCAAATCTGTACTTCTCAAGTGAATTTGAGAGAAAGTTGTAATCCTCAAGTGAGTTTAAGAGAAAGTGATCCTCAAGTTAAGTTATACCAACTTAAGAGAAGACGTTTTGTAAGCTTTCATTTGATTAGAGTGGAAACAACGAAGAAGGGGCGAGTGAGGACGTATGCTCAATTTGAGCTGAAGCTCAGTAAATCTTATGTGTGCAATCTATCTATTTCTCTTTGTATTTTTTTTTCTATTTTTTCTCATCTCATCACAAAGACGGGAAATGTCTTATTGTACTGTTAATTTCCTAACAATATACTGATCATCAATATAAATCATAAAACAAAACATTTGGCCTATAAACAATACAAAAAACAATAATTTAG